TTAAGCTTCCAACTAAACTCAACATATAAAAATATAACAAAGCATGTATCAAAAAAAAAAAAGTATGACAGTATCTTGTTAAGTGTTGGTTAGAATAAAATAAAACAGAAATCATCCAAAGCCATAGCTTTGCAATTCAAACAAGCTCACAGCTGGACTTTTATTCTTACCAAACCGTACACTAAAAACCTTCCTTATTTTCAATTTAAGAAGAGAAAAAGAAAAGGTCTTTCCTGTTAAAACATGTATCGTTCCATATCTCCAACCATTAGTATTTGAAAGTTCAATAACAAAAAGGAGTGTTGAGACATAAAAACAGCTGGGAATTTATTTTAGAAACAATTTTTTAAAAGGACTATAATAGGGATCCCTGGGTGGCGCAGCGGTTTAGCGCCTGCCTTTGGCCCAGGGCGCGATCCTGGAGACCCGGGATTGAATCCCACATCGGGCTCCTGGTGCATGGAGCCTGCTTCTCCCTCTGCCTGTGTGTCTGCCTCTCTCTCTCTCACTGTGTGCCTATCATAAATAAATAAAAATTTTTTAAAAAGGACTATAATAATGAACCATACACATTGGCAATTCTAAGAAAATGTGTTTTTACATTTGATATGATTCTAGAACAGACCTCTGTGGCCCAATCAGATCAAACATTTAGAATGCATCTAAATCCCCAGTCTCAAACTGGAATGGGGAAATCTATTTAATTACTATAAATCCTATTAAACCAATCTTCTTTGTAAAGTGGAAAATGTCTGACCTCTGAGGGCTCTGGAGGGTATAATGAATGCAGAGTTTAATTAGGGCCCACTGTTGGCTCACTATAATCTATTAATTAGCATTCTCAGTCCTCTCAGTATCTCATTGCAGTGTCTCACTTTACTTTAAAATTGCACCCTATGCTTTTTGGACCAAAGTTACACAATTTTAGGATTGTGTGGTAATTATAGTGGGTGCAGGAAGAATATATTCCTGCCAGCACTGGTGCTTAATTAGGGCAAGGGGCGGAATCTAGATAAGGCTGTGTTCACCCTCCTTCAGTGCATATGGGTTTTTTTGGCATCATACGCCTGTGGACTATTTCACTTCCACTGGACTTCAGTGCTGACTCCTCACCTCACTCTTTACAGAAGATTCAAATACTTTGCTTTTAAATGTAGTTTGATAATTACAAAGGATATTGTCATTGCTTTTTATCCATATAGCTTTCGCAATATAGGCATAATTAGCTGCCTCAATTATTTGAAAATAAAGACATATATCAGTAATTTTTTCCTTGTTAAAATGGACATTTCCAAGTTGCTTGATAATAAAAATCATCTTAGTGAAAGGCATATTTTCAGCATCATCAGAAAGGTATACTAGAGGCCAGCTAATTCAGTGTAAATCTAGTAGTCTCAATTCAACTTCTACCAAAATCCACTTTAAATTATATATATGCTTATATTTATACATATTACATTTATACACACACAAATGTAGTGTCAATATACTCTTGAAAGGTAGAAACTTTAAAGGGAATTGTTTACTCATGTGTAATCTTTACACAATATTTATCACAAGAAGTTATAGCTCAGCCATTGATTTTTATTAATAATTTGAGACTGAATAATATTTAAGTACGACGTACTATGTTAATGCCTGTCTAAATACATATACAAAGTACCTCATATTTGAGCACTGAAACACCATCAGTATGTACTCCAATTTATCAATCTGATTTTTACAAATTAAAAAACCTAATATCGGGCAGCCTGGGTGGCTCAGCAGTTTAGCGCCGCCTTCGGCCCAGAGATCCTGGGGTCCTGGGATCGAGTCCCACGTCAGGCTCCGTGCATGTAACCTGCTTCTCCCTCTGCCTGTGTCTCTGCCTCTCTCTGTGTCTCCCATGAATAATAAATAAAATCTTTAAATAAATAAATAACCTAATATCCTTGAAATACAGATACATAATGATTTTTTTAAAGATGTTATTTATTTATTTATTTACTTACTTACTTACTTACTTATTCATGAGAAACAGAAAGAGAGAGAGGGCAGAGACACAGGCAGAAGGAGAAGCAGACTCACTGTGGGGAGCCTGATGCGAACCTCGATCCCAGGACCCCAGGATCATGACCTGAACCAACGGCAGATGCTCAACCACTGAGCCACCCAGGTGCCCCCAGATACAATTTTTAAGACATTATGCTACATTGATACCTTACCACAAGACTAAATAAAGCAAATTCTTTTTTTCTGTCTTGAAATTTACAATTCAACACCAATTGTAAAAACTTTCAGAATGTATCTAGGAATTATAAACTTTTGGTGTTGTACTTCACCTTCTGAGAACAAAAATGTGAAGTGAGGAAAACACATTCCCTCCCCCCCCATGTCATATGTTATCTGAATATTTTATCTATACATCCATGATTCTCAAGGTGAGGAGATACCAAAATCACCAGGATGGGCTTTGTTGTTTAAACATATCTAAGATTTTAAACACTTTTTCCTAAACATACATAACTTCTACCAAGGGTCACTGTCACAGTTAACAATCATTATGTACAGGAGTCTGTCACTATCCTGAAGTGCAGTAGGCAGAAAAAAGGTTGAGAAGCACTGAGCCAACCGTGTTTTGTTTGTTTTCCTTCTGTCACAACTGAGCTCAAAGAATCATCATGAATTCCCTACGGCAGATGAGCAATACACTAGTTTAAGAATTAGATGTACCACATTCTAAAGATCCCAAAATTGGCTTATCTCAGAACTACCAGGGAAACTGGACTCCATCTCCAAACATTTATAAAGCGAGACCTGGAAATCTATATCTTAAATAAATGTATCAGAACCAACATTTAGGAACCTCGTCCTTACTTTTAAGATCTAACACTGGGGTCTATTTTAGTTTTTCTCTTTCTTTTCACATTTTTGTTTTTAAAGTCTTAAAGATTAAATCCCAAAAACTTCCTGAGGAATACCTTTTAAAGGACATTTCTTCTTTTTTAATCTCTAAGAGACTTAGAGATTTAACTATGCTAATAAGACATTCCAAGTCTGTGTAATAACAGATTATATTTAATTGCTGGTTAAAAAGTAAATGCAAAGTAGTATGAGGCTATAATATATCTGAGAAGAGAAAATTATCATAATTTCTAATTATTTTGAAATCTCTGATTCAAAAGAATTAAACGTTTAGGCATTTTTTTAAAGATTTATTTATTTGAGAGAGAGGAGGTGCAGAGGGAGAGGGAGAGACAATCTTAAGCAGACTCTGCAGTGAGTGTGGAGCCCCATGCTAGACCTGATCCCACAACCCTTAGATCATAGCCTGAGCTGAAACCAAGAGTTGGATCCTTAACCAACTGAGCCACCCAGGTGCTCCAATATTTAGTTTTTAATTCATATTGTACTATCAAGTAAATTTGAAGATTTTTAACTCTGTGATGTTAAATTAAGTAGTACAGAGAATAGTAAATAGGCATTAAAATAATGATTCAGACATAGAGCTTTAATACACAGCAGATGTGTTGGCTACAAAAGATAATAAAAATAAATAAATAAAAATAAAAAAGATCACAATATAATACCTATAATATTCCTTTGTATAAATTCTATCTGTGTGTATGCACAGAGATGTTCATTAGGGAGAAACAACAAAATGTTAACCATGGAATAGCAAAGTTACCATATATGGGAGGATCTAGAGCAAATTTTGATTTCATATCTATGTTTTTCAGTATTATTTTTATGATCAGAGAAAAGAAGCTATTTTTACTACTAGAAAATTAAGTCTGGGGCTTTAACATACAAAACAATATAACTAGCAATCTTCTTCAAGTAACCAAAACAGTAGACATGAATGCCTGAATTAAGTGTTAGTTAATAGAATGGTAAAAACAATCAACAATCTTAGATTTACTTCGTCAAAGACATCACTTCTCCTTCTTTCTTAGCATTATTCAAGAATGCTAAAGAAATCCAAGTAAGTTTATTACTTTCTTCATAATTTTTATTAACCAAACTCCAAAACAAAGTATAATATTAATAAGGTAGCTACTTTAAAATTTTTCTTTAAGAATAGAATTTTTTAAGGAGGCAAATAATTCACACTCGTAAGTTTAAGAAAAGTTTTGTAAAAGTCTCAAATAAAAAGTATGATTAAGATTTTAGTTGCTGGGGTGCCTGGGTTCTCAGTTGGTTTAGCATCTGCCTTCAGCTCAGGTCATGATCCCAGGGCCCTGGGATCCAGCTGCATTCGGCTCCCTGCTCAGTGGGAAGTCTGTTTCTCCCTCTCCCTCTGCCCCTCCCCTGTGTTCATGCTTGCTATCTCTCTCAAATAAATAAATAAAATCTTTAAAAATGTATTTTTTAATTGCTGGAAGCATGAACAGGGTTTGTTCACATCTCTGGAGTCATGTTACTCAATGTGACATGACAGTGGCCAAAACATCAACTATAACTTGGGAGAGGAAAAAAAAAAATGTCTCATATATCTAATAAAATCGCATTTAGCTCTCAAACTGCAAAGCCCTAAGTATAATGCCTAGTTACCTCATTTATTTTCTAGAAGCAATCAATCTATCAAATTGCCTTTCTTCCACCGTTAGTATGTGCTACCAAAGTAAGCACCATGGTAAATCTTACTCCTATCCCTCACACTTAAGATATGTAGCCTGAGTAATTCTGTTAACGCATCTTAGAGCACATGGCAAAATTATACTTTCTCGAGAACTGGAGAAAGGTAATACAGGCTTAAAGAAAAGACAGGAAGAGAAAGAGAAGCAGGGAAATGCAAGCAGGAAAGCAAGCAAGAACAGCGAGCAAAGAGACATGGCAACCAGAAAAAAACTACAGCACCGGGCAAAAAAAGGTTAAGAAAAGGACAGAAAATAGATAAATAGGAAAAAGATAAATGAACCAAGAAGAAGAAAACCTAAGGAAGAAAAGAAAGAGAATAGCTCATTTCATTCACACACACGATTTCAGTCAAAAAAGGTAAGCATACATATCACACTAACCTGGTTTTCCTCCTGCACCACTCTATACTGTTCCTTCCAAATAGTGATTTTGGAAGCTTCATCTTTTCTCAGGGCTCGTTCTTTCTTCAGCTCTGGGCTCCAGAAAGTCTTGATGCTATTCATTGAAGAACTTAATTTGCTCTCCTTTACTTCCACATCCTTCCGCAAGAGATCATTTTCTCTTAACACTTCTTTCAGCTGTGTCTGCAGATCCATGATTGTATTATCTCTTGCCTGACGAAGAGAGTGAGGAACAGTGGATGCCATACTCACAGGAGGGAGGTGATGCTCTCCAAATGCTATGGTGTCACTAGCTACCCCACTGCTAGCTATATTGGGGCTACTGCCCATAGCAGTCATCCTGACACCATACGGCAGACGTCCCCCAGAACGCCCAAGCGTCATGGTGCTTTTAGGGGTTTCTGAACCCACATTTTCATGGTCACTTAGGTACATAGGTCCAGATGTAGCATAAGCAGCATTTAAGGATTGGATATTCTCCATTGAAAGGGTTTTTCCACCGCCACCTCCAACACTGCTTCCAGAACTCCCTCCTGTACTATTGGTTCGACGATGACCCAAGCGAGGGGAACGAGGAAGCCTAGGTGAACGCCCAGGGCTCTGGTTGCTTGGTTCCACCTTCCCAACTGAGCGAGCACTTCCATACATGGTTGCAAGATGAACTTCGGTGCCAAGAAAGGTGTAAAGCAGAAAGCAAAGTACGAAATTCCGTGAGGTTTCTCAATGGCTGTAAGTCTGCTTAAGGCTACTCAGAAATAACAGGTCTCCAACTGTTCAGTTTTGAAGAAATGCCTAACACCATATCTGTAATGAAAAGATCACACATTAAATCCTCCCTCTCAGAAAATTTTTCATTACCCCCACATAAGAAAGATCTCCCTGTCATCTATTTATTCATGCATTCAAAATTTGTCTACAGCACATTTCACTTTAAACATCATTTTAACAGTATTTTGCATGTCTCAAAACTAAATACTGAAACCATGCCACACAAATGGAAAAAAAGAAATAAGAGGTATAAAGACTAACAATAAAAGGATAAAACTATGTTTGAACCTAAGATTTTCTAACTGGAAAACCCAGGATCACTCACAGTTATTAAAATAACAGGATTCTACAAATCAGTTAGATATAAAATAAATATATAAATATCAGTATCTTCCTATACATTAGTAACACAATTAGAAAATACAATTTTTTACTCACAAATAGCAACAAAATCATAAAAACACTTTAAGTACAAATCTAACAAAAAGATGCAAGCATGAAATACTTCATATCCTAAAGAAAATCCCTACAGGATTCTCCAAATAATCGAACAAGCTGACCCTAAAATTCAAATAGAAGAGTTAAGGTATAAGAATAACGTAAACAATTTGTAACACAAGAACAAAGAAGGAAGCTGTTCCCTAAATACCAAGATAAGTTACAGGTCCATGATTCCTCCTCACTTTCAATGCCAAAATCAAAAGAGCTATACGTTTTGTTTCTTCTTAACTCATTTAACAGCAAAACCTGACCTGATCTGGTATGAGGTCATTTATTATTTATAGGTATTATTCACACACTTATTGAGAAAACAATGTATATGATTACAGGATACTGCATAATGTCCACTGGGTATCACGGGGGAAAAAATCTGGACTTCAAGCCAAATAAGACCCCCAGAATTTCTCATAAGAACTCAGAGTTTTGGGGAGCCCGGGTGGCTCAGCGGTTAGCACCGCCTTCAGCCCACGGTGTGATCCTGGAGACCTGGGATAGAGTCCCACGTCGGGCTCCCTGCAGGGAGCCTGCTTCTCCCTCTGCCTGTGTCTCTGCCTCTCTTTCTCTCTGAGTCTCTCATGAATAAATAAAATCTTAAAAAAAAAAAAAAAAGAACTCAGAGCCTTTTAAAACCACAGTATTTAAAATTGTATAGTACTGGCACAGGAACATAGTCTAAAGTATATATGTAAGTTAGTATATGCTAAAAGTAACATTTTAAAAGAATGAGGAAAAGACAAATCATTTCAATAAACGAGGTTTGAACAACTGGTGCTCTTGGAAAAATAAATTACATCCCTACTTCACACAGTACACAAAAATAAATTCTATGTAAAGATACAAATTTAGTTGTTTTTTTCTTTGAGAGTGTGTGTATGCATATGCTTATGTGAGCAGGGGGTGTGGGTAGGGGAAAGAGAAAGAGAAGACCAAGCAGCCTCTGTTCCCAGCATGGAGCCCAACCTTGACCTGAGATGAAATCAAGAGTTGGATGCTTGACTCACTGAGCCATCTAGGTGCCCCAAAGATACAAATTTTAAAACTATCAAAGGTACTAGAAGAAAACTTAGGAGAATACCCTTGTACCCTTGTGAACTTGAGTTAAGGTAGTATCTCTTACAGTAAGAAACAAAAAGCAAAACCATAAAGAAACACAATGTATTTAAATATGCTAAAATGGCATATTAAGTATTACATCAAAAAATACTATAAGCAAAATTAAAAGAGAAACCAAAAACTAGGTGATATATATCTAACATAGGTATATAGATATATACAACCTGTATAAAGAATTCCTACACGGAAATGCCAAATTTCAAAGAGCAATGGTAGAGGGGGAAGGGAGCTTGTATTGTAAGGGGAAGGTGGGGGCAAAAAATCTAAAGTGAACTTTAGGTTCACTTTACATTCATAAAGCTTGAATTTTATTTTTTTTTTAAAGATTTTACTTATTTATTCATGAGAAACACAGAGAAAGAGAGAGAGGCAGAGACACAGGCAGAGGGAGAAGCAAGCTCCACGTAGGAAGCCTGACATGGGACTCAATCCCGGGTCTCCAGGATCAGGCCCTGGACTGAAGGTGACGCTAAACCGCTGAGCCACCCAGGCTGCCTAAGTTTGAATTTTTTAAAAGTAAAGTATGTTCATATTCCACAAGCATAATAAAAACCAATTTTAAAAACATTTATCACAACTATCTACTTTCAATTCTCTCAAAAAATAAATCAACTAGATCTCCATGGTACTCCAATACAGTACCAAAAGAACTGGCTCAGGTCAAGTAACGGGGATCAGCACATTAAATAATATTTTCCAAAAATCCACTGTTATGTAGAAGTCTTAAGTGTTTCTTCACCAGGGCACCTAGGTGGCTCAGCTGGTTAAGCATCCGACTCTTGATTTCGGCCCTTGATTTCTCCTTGGGTCATGATCTCAGGGTCATAAGATCATCATCATTATCTGCTCCTCCCTCAGTAGAGAGTCTGCTTGTCCTTCTTCCCTCCCCTTCTTACCCCCCCCAAGAGTCTGCTTGTCCCTCTCTCTCCCCTTCTTCCCCTCCAAGAGTCTCCTTGTCCCTCTTCCTCCCCTTCTTGCCCCCCCCCATTCACATGCACACTTTGTCTCTAAATTTTTTTAAATGTTTCTTCACTGAAAACACTACCCAAGGGAACCCTGGGTGGCGCAGCAGTTTAGCGCCTGCCTTTGGCCCAGGGCGCGATCCTGGAGACCCGGGATCAAATCCCACATCGGGCTCCCGGTGCATGGAGCCTGCTTCTCCCTCTGCCTATGTCTCTGCCTCTCTCTCTCTCTCTCTCTCTCTCTCTCTCTCTCTCTCTCTCGTGACTATCATAAATAAATTTTTAAAAAATTAAAATTAAAAAAATATATATTAAAAAAAAACACTACCCAAGTAACTCACATAGTCAAAATTAGGAATTTAGAGAATCCATATACTTCACTCAAACTCAAAGAGGTTATTTTTCAGAAATATAAATTCACTGGCAGTCTCACCTTAACATTAGTAATGCCCTAGGGTAATAGCAAGAAGAACAGAAAGTACATAGAGCCTGAATCTTTAAGGTTCTATCACAGAAATAGCAATAGTTGGATGCCTGGGTGGCTCAGGGGTTGAGGATGTGCCTTCAGCTTAGGTCATGATCCTCCCTACAGGGAGCCTGCTTCTCCCTCTGCCTATGTCTCTGCCTCTTTCTCTGTGCCTCTCATGAATAAATAAATAAAGAAATCCTTTAAAAAAGAAATAGCAATAGTACATCAAGTTCAGAAATTACAATACTCTACTAGTAATGTTTGGAAATTCCTCTCTGGGAATAAACTAGATTAAGAAGTAAAAATTTCTTGGGATGCCTAGGTGGCTCAGTGGTAGAGCATCTATCTGCCTTCAGCTCAGGGCATGGTCCCAAGGTCCTGCATCAGGTTCCCCACAGGGAGCCTGCTTCTCCCTCTGCCTATGTCTCTGCTTCTCTCTGTGTGTTTCTCATGATTAAAATTAAAAAAAAAAAAGTAAAAATTCCATGTTTTGTTTTGTTTTGTTTTTTAGGTAAACTCTATGCCTAACATGTGGCTTGAACTCACAACCCAAGATCAAAATTCACATGCTCTACCAAGTGAGCCAGCCAGTACCCTTCCTTTTCATGATTAATCTGGACTGTGAGGTAGGTGACAATAACCTACATATTGCTGTTTGAATGAATTCTATTTCAAGATCAAAGAGGGATGCAAAGTTTTTCTTTTTAAGTAAGATGAATTGCTTAAAATAAGAGCCATTCATTATCCAGAATCCCTTGAACGATAACAAAAGCTAACATTTAGTATTTACCATATGTCAGGCATTGTGCTAAAAATTTTATAAGATCTAATATATTTTTTAAGATTTTATTTATTCATTCATAAGAGACACAGAGAGAGGGGCAAAGACATAGCCATAAGGAAAAGCAGGCTCCCTACAGGGAACCCCATGCGAGACTCAATCCCAGGACCCCAAAATCAACACCTGAGCCAAAGGCAGACACTCAACCACAAGCCACCCAAGTGCCCCTCTAATGTAATATTTAAAAGCCTCCCATAATATAGGTACTGTCATTGTCTCTATTTTAGAGATGATGAAAGTAAAGCTTATAGGTGTTAAGTGACATCTGAAGTCACGTACCATTAAGAGGTAGGGTCAAGATTTGAATTAGGGCACCTAATTCCACAGCTCTGGAGGCTCTTAACTACTGTGCTTTAACCACAATCATCTGCTGAGAACGTCTCAACTCGCCATAGGGTATTAAAGGCTTCCACAGTTTTAAGGCAGTGTGTGCTGCTAATCTAGTACTTAGGCCTTCCAGATATAAAGCTTAAATAATCACATTTACCTTTCTATTAAGGAGAAAGTCTTTTTTAAAAGATGATGGGCAAAAGAACAAAGTCAGACTAACAAAATAAGGAGTAATAAGTCAAGAGTCTCAAGAATCATGCCATGAGAATACCCTGCCACATTCAAGAAAAAAATTCTCAACTGTGCTTTGGTGCAGAATTCTATTTTCATGTAGTCAAGTAACTAAATCACACTGAATAGGCTAAGATCCAATAACAAAAATTCCAATCAAGTTTTCAACATTAGCAGGTGCACTCTAATGTTCAAGTCACTTTCATATCCAAAATGGCACTGGCATGTGGAGTCTTTATTATTATCAGAACTATATTCATTTACACAACAAAAGAAAAAAATTACTAGCTCTGAATTCTTCACACTAGCTTTTTAATCTCAGGAGCTTCAGGGAAGATAGTGTTCCAAAAAAAAAAAAAATCTTTTAAAAATATTCCAGAGCAGCCTGAGTGGCTCAGCCGTTTGGCCCCGCCTTCAGCTCAGGGCCAAATCCTGGAGACCGGGGATGGAGTCCCACATCGGGCTCCCTGCATGGAGCCTGCTTCTCCCTCTACCTGTGTCTCTGCCTCTCTCTCTCTCTCTCTCTCTCTCTCTCTCTCATGAATGAATAAATAAAATCTTTAAAAATAAATATTCCAGATATACAACC